TTCCAAGTGTCAAACACTGGTTTGAGAGAAAGCACAAATGAATGTTCACAATTGGAAGAGAGCTCCATTTTATTAAGCATAAGTAATAATAGAACAAAGTGTTTCATATTGACAGCATCATACTGTTGTGTATCTTTCCAGAGACAAATGTACTTTCTAGAGTAAGTGTCCTCACATGATGTGTGAAGCTACCTAGAAATAAAATAGAGGTCATAAAACGTAAAGACATGATAGGATGCATTTATAACAGCATAAACCGAGCTGGCATTTTAATGTCTTAAGCCAGCCCATTTGCTATCCTTGGCCATTGATCTTGGCTGGGAGAGTTCTGTGCTGAATTTAAACTCCTTTTGGAGATAGAGGCATATGATGAGAAATTGATAGGATTAGGTTTTGTTAGAAAGAATTCTCCTTTTGACTGTTACAATTCCAGCCCAACAGGAGCACTGGTTGTGGTGTGTCTTTACAAATCTTCCTCAGAAATGTTGTGTCCACCTTCACAGAACTTTGTGATTTTCTGGTGTAACTGGCCCTGGAAATTTTTGTTTGCAGCTCACACAGAAGAACATTTCTTATTAGCTATGAGAGAGACTTTAGTTTAGTGTTTGCTCCATGGGATGATTTGGTATTTTGGGGAAGTTACTACAGTTTGGGAGTTCCTGTTTGGGAATTCATTGTTTAATGAATTCCTCTGAAGGCATGGGAAAAGATTAATTTCAAATGGTTGTGTAGGTAGTTTTAATTAAAATGCTTGAACTAAGATTCAATATGGCATATAAAATAAGTAATGATGGCTACCTAAGTACTCACTGAAATGGTATCACCCTCCATTCCCTAAATTTTTCCAACCACATGCTTAAAAAAAAAATATCAAGAAAGGGAGAAAAAAATCCCTATCCATAGGACTGCCAGCATGTGTGGGGTGGTTTTTGAAACATTTAAGTAGCAGAAAAATTGGCCACATGTTGTCTGCCTGTGGTTTGCTGCATATTTGGTAGTGAAGGCAGGCTGGGCACTGCTTTGTTCTTCCTGAGTTTTAGTGGGAAAGCATGCAGGGCAAGAGGAATCTCCCCACTGCCTGTACTCCCTTTCAATTCCTGCAGATGGAATATCTGATGGGCATTTTTCTGTCTGCTGTTTTACAGTTGTGCAGAGCCTGGGAATACTCACTGAAGTCTTATTTGAGTGGAAATCTTTCATATCTTTTGTTTTCAATGCAGTTTTACTGAAAGGCCTTTGGAATTTGAATGAACCTTTCTGGAATGTGGTTTTCAAAGGAGAAGTCTCTAGAAATGAAATCTTCCCCATGTGTTGAGATAATGATATCAATATTGGTATGGTTAATTGAAGCCAACATTCCTGGCACAGATGTGCTTCTGGATTGGAATCTGTTTGTTTGAAACTCTCAGCAAACATCCAAACCTGGTGAGGTAGAATGAAGGCTGATTTACTGATGGACATCATCACCTCACCTGGATTTAAGGGAGTGGAAATTACTGCAGAAAAAAGAAATCATTGAGGATAATTAGTCCTGTACTAACACAGGGAAAGGATGAAGGTTGGAGTGGTGTCTGAGTGAGGTTCAGCATGCAATCTGAGCTACTGAGCATCATTTTTCTCATGGCATCATTTATTGAGAACCTCTTGAGGCATCAAGATTTGTGCCAGTGTCTAACCTGTTCATACATGATCCCCTCTGTCTTCTGAACCAGGATATTCAGAGGCTGTGAGGCTTCCATGAGGTTCTGTGTTCACAGTGAGAAAAATACTCAGTGGATGTAGCTACAGATTTATTCTAATGTAGATTAACTTGTACCATTGGATAGAAACATGAGCTTCCATGAAAAAACCAGGGTGATGCTCTACCCTTCCTATCAACTTTCTTTTTTGTGGAAAAAGAACATCTAGATAAATTGTTGCCCTTTCCAACCAGAAGATGGCTGGTACGAGAAAATCTTGCTGAAATTACGTCTCAGCTGGAAGGAAAGATGAATTTATTTTATGTAGCATTGGGGGAAGATTCTCAGAAATATTCAGTCAGTCAGTTATCAGAGTGGTAAATGAGATCTCGAGAGCCAGAGCTCATCAGTGTGCAGTGATAGGGAAGGGGGAAGGAGAGAGGCTGCATCAGGGCTGGGTGTTTGTGTTCCTGATGGAAAAGTGCAAATCATTTCCTTCCCTTCTGCTGCTGTCATGGTCCATCACTTCAGTCCATTTTCACCTTGCTGAGGGATTCTGAATGGGCCTTCCTGCTTTGGCACCTAATTAATCTCTCACAAGCCTGTTCTTGCAGCCTGGCTGCCTGGGATGGTCCAGATCTTACATCAGTGCCTGACAAACAAAAATTATCATTTTTTTTCCTGTACCTGCCTTCCTTTCCCTGTGTTCTTTCACCCCAAGCCCAGTTTAGCAGGCTGAAGACATTGTTCTTCCCCAGCCTTTGAAGAGGGCATAGACACACCTTGTTAATACAGGAAAATATTCCCTTTCTTCCAATGGAACCACTCTCACACTGTGGCATGGAAAGCTGACTATGTTTTCAAAAGTGCTAAGTGCCCACAAAAAAAATGCAGCAGGATTTTCCTTGTCAGAAACTGTTCAGAGCCTTTACACTGGAACACAAGCTGGAAATGATGGGGCACCTTTGAAAAATGGCATAGCTAGGCACAAACAGAAGATCTGAGATGGAAAAGGCGTATTTGTGGTGTAAAACATTGAGATGAGACGGTGAGACAAAAGAATTATTTTATTGAAGTTATTTTACTGTTGTATATCAAGTGATCATGAATATCAGATACCTCGTGCAGCCAAACACTTTATGTCTGGTTTAAAATGAGTCCTTGTGACAAAATAACACATGTAGGCTATATAACAGATAACACTGGGTGGTATAATGTATTATCTATAATAGAAAAACATAGATTCTGTAAAGTGATACCAGTGGAATCTAATATTTCTTTGAAATCTATTTCCTGGATAATATTTCTCCTCAGAAGTTACTTATCTCCCTTCTGCTCTGCCTTTGTGGGGACAGGCTTGGTTTTCAGCACAGGATATCATTGCAGTCTGGCAAATGGAAAAGCACTAAAGCAGATCTGAGGAGTTAGATCAGTGCTCAGGGGATTGTCCATGCCAACCTTGCAGCTCTCCTGGCCCTCAGGGCAGCCACTGATCTCCTGTGCTGGTGCTACAGAGCCAGCAGGAGCTCTCAGAGTCTTCTGGGGACACACAGGCAGGGGAAAAAAAAAGGAAGAAAAATCACATCTTTAATTCCCCCCTGCTGACAGCTTCCTTAATAAATATTGTAAGAAATTTCTCTGTTAAGAGCCACCCAGTAATCTAATTTGCAAGCCCCAGTGATATATTCAGCAGCCAGCTCCAGGGAGGTGTGTTTCTACTGTCAGAATCACATGAGCAGGGAATAAAATTCTGAGCTCTGGCTGAAAGCTGCAGTAATTTATGATGAGTTGTTGGCTTTTATTTTTTCATACTATTTTTGACTCAGCTGAACAAAGAGGATAGAACTGCTACTGAGTTTACATTGATCAGTTTTTTTCTACAGTATGCTCCCCTACCTGTTTGTTTTCACAGGATATAACAGTACAAAGACTGCACATTTAAGTTTTATGTTTATCTGAGGAAATCATGGAGTGAAACACTTGTTTATTAATGAGTGATGGATCCTGGATTATTTCAATCATCCCCCCTCTTGACGTGCTTCTGAAGGAGTTGAGCCTTTGCCAGTCTGCTGAGTTTACATAATCCCAGATTTGGGATTCCCACATTCCACCTTCTGTCTTGTCTGGATAGGGGAATCCTCGGGCTCTTCTCTTCTCCTCAGCTCCAGTTTAAGGAATGTTCTGCTCTGGTGTGTGCACAGAAGCCAAAGCAAAACCCAAAAAATCTTCCACAAGATTACAGCTGTCCAGCCAAGGTCAGGCTGTTTGGTGAGAGAACTGATTCCCCTCAGCAGTGTCATCGTGGTTGTGTCCAGTTTCCTACAATGGGAAAAGCTTCCTTTCTGGAGTTCCATCTGTGTCAGGTCCATCCCCTCAGCTGAGAAACACCAACAGTGTTGTCTCAGAAATGAACTCATTCAAAGAAAACAAAGCAAAGCAGTGAGAAAGCCAGCCCAAAAGCTCTAGGGTGTAAATCCTCAGCTGCTCAGCTGGAAGAAGGTGCAGTGGCTGGGTGTCTTCAGCCTTGAAAGAACTTTCAGAACCACTTCACAGGTAATTCCATCTGAGCTCTGAGTTCTTGATGAGCACCTCAATTCTTGGGGTGCACCTCTGTTCCCTCAACTCTGCTTTAAGAACTTGGAGCTTGCAGTGGTTAATCCATAGCCAGAGACTATTTTGCACTGGTGTGGTTAATCCATAGCCAGAGACCTCTCCTTCAGAGAAAAGGGAAGTTTTGGGTGTCCACAGGAACAAGACTTTACCCTCAGTAAAGCTCCCAGGCACCGCCTGCTTTCTCTAAGTCTTTGTGCAGGCCTTGAGAGGAAAACCAAGTTGCCAGCACTCACTGGCTTTTTTCAGGGTACACGTGGGCACAGTCCAATAGATCTCTCAGACCCTTTGAAACAAAGGAATTTGATGTGTATAAAAAGGAAATGGTGCTGTCTCTATCCTGCCTTTTCATCCACGTTCCTGTTTTGGTTTTTTTTCTGCATCAACAAGGTTTTTGAGGATGCACCTGGGGAACACAAAGTGGTGCTTTCATTGTTCCTTCCTAGGATTCAAAAATGTTTAAAACCCACTTCTCATTTCTTTATACCTTCCTTTTCCACCTTCCATTACTGGGAAGCAAATACCAGTGGGCTGGGTTTTGTGACTGTTTCCATGGGGCAATGCTCAGGTGAGGAATCATTGTCAATGTTCACCTTTCCAAGGAGCAGCTGGGGAGATGTGTGAAACGTGCACTTCATTCACCTAAAGTTGTCTGTTGTTCATATTACCCTGAGTGGAGGGTGCTGCATTGCTGTTTTTTGTCTCTTGCAGTGAGAGGTGCAGGTACACCCTGCGTGGCCATGAGGACTCAGTCAACAGCATCGAGTTCCTGCCCTTCTCCAGCACCGCTCTCACCAGCTCTGCTGACAAGACCTTGTCTCTCTGGGATGTCAGAACGGTAAGCAGGCTTGGCCTTGGTCACTTCCTGAATTCAGGCAAAGCTGTGATGTCTCTGTGTGACATGAGGAAAATGAAACCCAGTGTGAAATCAAAATAGAAAGTAAGGGTGATGTGCCAGTAAAATATTCACTAGCACCTTTGTTATCTTCTGACCAAAAATGTCACCATGTAACACCTCCTCTAGAAAGGATCTGCCTCTCCTCCTCCAGAACTCCACTGATTCTACATGGAACATGCATTATTTTCTCCATGTTATATCACTGCAGGTAGTGACAGAAACTCTGCCTCTCCTCCCCTGTTCTTCTCTACCTTCCATCTCTGGAACAGGTAAAAATGGATTGAGTACACTGGAGAGTGTATTTGTCCCTGCTGCTTTGCAAACCAAACATGCAAATCCTGTTCAAGTAGAACACAAGAACAAGGCAAGAGGATTTTTTTTTCCATCTTTCATCAGAAAATCTAATAATTATTGCTGTTTCTGTGGTATGGAGCAACTTTGGAAGTACTCAGATTATTCCTTCAGTTGGTGCTACAGCCACTCTGCATTTCTCAGACATTGTAAAGACTGCAGCCTCAAATGGAGAAGGTGGAATTCATGGAAGGGCTTTGAGAGGAAGCAGGCAGAGCTGCTGGTGTCCATGAAATGGTGTTGTCATCAGAGCTATACAAGCACAGGATAGGAAAAACTGCCATGGAAATGACAGTGGAATACTTGAAATGCTCATTAGGCAATTTCTATTTCTGGATCATAGAAACTGACTGAATAGAAGGTCATTTAATAATAATAATAATAATCCTGGTCAGAAAGCACAATGAGTTAAAATGAAACTAGTCAAGACTCATTATTCCTAAATGCATTGGTTTGTAGGAATATTTGATATCTGAATATGAATAATTCAAAAAGAGGAAAAAAAATATTGAAGTACAAACAAAAGTGAAATGCTTAATGAAAAAATAGATTTATGCTTTGTTTCGTTTTCAATAAATCCTGCAAGGAACTTTATCTTGCAAATATCTCGGTAATCTCCTGCTCATAGCAAATTAACAGAGTCATCAAGGAGTTTTCCTTTGACAAACATAAGGAAAAAGCCTCTATATTTGCTCACCAATATTGTTTTTCAGCTGTGGGTAATTTTGCTAAGACAGGAAAGACAATGTTTTTGTGAAAAGAGAACGTTGTACGTGGCATTTTGTTGTGTATTTATTCTGTTGAATTTTTTTCCATGTTCAGTGGGAAATCTTTACAGTGGTTTTGGGATAAATGCTCACGGTAAAAACTCACTTGAGGTGGTGAAATCCCTGTGAAGATGCCACCTCCCTCTAAAAGCTGAATGATATTAAATGTTCCCTCCACGAAGAAGATGAATTATTTTATCCCATTAATTGGGAACAGAGTATTTTCTCACCTCTGTGTGATCAATTAGCATTAAGGAGTACATTTAAGATACTTTTAATGAAACATGAAAACCACGCTTGAGTTTGTTTTCTCATAAATCAGATTCCTATTGCAAATCACATCTTGCTCTTCAATCATTAAGTGCAGTCAGCTCTTTATTATTAAAGATAATGGATACAGAGAACTGTAAGTCAGAGCAGTGTAAGTTGAATGGACAATGAGCTCTGGATTTGGGGCAGGATTTGGAACATAAATCTTTGTAATTACTAAGCTGGAACTCTGTAGCAGCCTGCAGACTTTGGAAACTCAGGGCATTACTTTTTTCCTCTTTTTTTTTTTTTCTTTTTGGGTAGCAGAAAGTAAGATCCATCCAGTGGTTTCAAAAAAATCTTCATCACATTGACTGTAATTTTAAACCTAAGGGATATATTGGCCATAGGAAAGTGAGAACAGAGAAAGATGAATTGCACTTGTGGCTCTTTCCAAACCCTGAGGGAGAATTACAGCTTTGGTGTTGGATTTGGGCAGGGACCACGCTCATGCTGTGCCAGACATGCAGCAGATCAGATGTGAAGACCCAGGCTGCAATTCTCTGCTGGGAATTCCTTGCCAGTGAAGCTGATGGCTCTGGTGCCAAGACAAGCTGCTGAATTTATTCCTCTTTGTGCCAGGTTCATAGAAAGACAAGTGTGTTCTGGCTTTTCACCAGGAAAATTCCTCGCTGACACATCAGGGAAAGCATCTCCACTGGTGGATTGCAAAGTGTGTCCAGTGTGAATGTGAGAGGTGCAAAAGAGCCTGTGACCCCCTGGGTACAAATTCCCCTGCCTGGGTTAATTCCTCCCATGATGAGGGACCTGCCACTCCTCTGCATCTCCCACAGCCTCTGCAGCCATTTCTTGGGGCTGCTCACATTTATCTTGACACCATTTGAGCCAAGCTTGAACTTCTGCTCTTTTTATCAGACAGATGAGATACCAAATCTTTATACACTTAAATAATTAAATAGAAGGGAAGGAAAAAAAATACATTTTTCACTCTACATCTTTGAAACTTATTGATTTAGTAACTATCTCATCTGCTTTCTGATTTTTGAAATGTCAGGTTCTATAACTGGATATTTCATTTCTGAAAACATTGGGGAGAGACTGTCATTTAAAAGGCAGCTTTCAGTAGTAATGCCCTGAGGAATGTGTCCAACGAGGATTTGGAAAGAATTCTGTGTGTCCTTAGCAGGCCAGTCCCATTCACATCAGTTTCTCTGTTCTTGTGAACAAAGCTCAGCACACACAGAGCTCTGTAAAAAGTCACAGCCACACAATGCTCTAGTCCTATTTGATTTTGTGAAATAACAAGAGTTTGAAATATTGCTCGATAATTTGTGTCCATTTTGGTCTCTACCTCTCACTGATATTCAAGTTTAATATTTTAGTTATCCAGGATGTATTTCTTTGTGCAGCTCAGTGATTTAAGATATTTTACCTGCATTCCTTTTGCAGAAGATTGCTGCATAACACAAATAAAAGGATCCCATTCCCACCCCACTATCAAAGTAATACCTCTGACATTCAGGGAGGAGGGCATCAAGGATGTCAACTTTTTCCTATTTGGCTCAGAGCTGACTGGAGCAGGGGTGAGGCAGCACAGCAGAACAGTGACCAGCTGCCAGTTCTGCCTCTGCACATCAAATTGTGTCCTTGTCAGTGATTTGTGGGCTGAAGAGCAGAATCAAAACTTAGAAGCTCCAAGGTAGCGTGGTCCTTGATGAATAATACAGGCACCAATCTCATAGGAAAAGGGAAAAAATCAGAATGAAATTGCCCCAAATCCTGCCTGAACAGCAGCAAGGAGCTCCCAGTAAAAACCTGGCTCTGGCTCTTTTCCTCCTCAGAGACTCCTGCAGTTTCCCCTTCCCCAGAGCGAGGGAGGGCAGTGGGAATTGAGGCAGAGCCTCCTTTCAGGCTTCTGCAGGGATATCTGTGCATGGCTGTGGAGAATCTGGATCCTGAGTGTGGTGCACCACATTTAACCCAGGCTGGGGCTCTGGGGCTGCACCACACCCAGAGGAATTCATTAGGAAGAAGTGGTCAGGCAAAAGAGGAAGAGGCTGCTGGGGGCTTCTGTAGGGCAGTGTTCTGTCTTCAAATGTGGCATGGGACAAAAGAGGTTCTTAGGAACAGCCCTTTTTACTACAGTAGTTGTTAATAAATTGCAGCTTCTGTGCTCCAGTGTCTGCTTATCATGGTGTGCTAATGGCTCTTGAACATTAAATACCTTTTTATACATTATTAAATATATTTATTATATTATACCTTATATTTATTATATTATTAAATATTTTATTATACGTTAAATATTATTGAACATAAATAAAAATGAGTTTGATCAGGTTCCCACACAGTTTGGTCTGTGGGAAACAGCCAGGGAACCCAAAGGAGGAGCAGGACCCCTCAGCAAGCCCAGCACCACGTTCTGAGGAGTGTTAAATCGAGGTTCTGCCTGCTCTGCTCTTCCTTGGCTTTCCATCATCTGCCCCACAGAGGTCCCAAAATGATCCATCCCTGCATCCAAAGAAACAGCAGAGCAAACCCCAAGGACCTGGGGGTGCTCACTTGAGTTTTTTCCTTTGTGAAAGGGCTCTGGCTGAAGGCACCTGGGTCTTTTGAGGACAGTGGCCATTTCTAGGGCTTTTCACTCCGTGTCCTACCAGAGAATAAATAAATCCATGCACAGGGCAGTTTCTGAGCTGTTGGCTGAGGTTTCCAGCTGTGCTGCAGCATTCTGATGATGAGCACTTGGCTGCCTGTGTGTTTCATATGGATGTGGAATAATTACAAGGATGCTGATCTAAGCTGCAGCTTTGCAATTTTCTCCTTCACGATCCAGCCCATCCTCTCCATCCCTGGGATGTCTTTGGCCTGGGACACTCTTGCTGTGGTTCCTGTTACAGCTCAAAGCTGGTTAACTTTTAGTTAAATTCAGGGAAATCATTCCAAGCTTATAATTTCCTTAGATAACCTTTTTAATTTATTTTCTTCTAATGAAATTATCTTTTAGACCACTTATTTTCCAGTGTTTATTTTGTCGCTGTTTAGTAATTTCTACATTAGTAATTCCCTTACATATCCTATCATAGTTTTGTTTCTTCCAGTGAAATATAAATTACCTTTTCAATATGGATTGTGTCAGAACCTTTTTGTTGGTGGACTTAGAGCTCATGGGAACACCCAGATCTTTGCAGGGATTCTGCCTGTCTATATTTTGCCTGTGTCCCTTTGGAATGGTCATTCACAAGGCAAATTCAGGAAAAATGATGAAGTGTTTAAGGATCAGGTGCCTGAGAGAAGCATTGAGCAGCCAAAAGGGAATGATTTTGAAAAGCAATCTGGTTGTCTTTATAATTTTTAGCCTATTCTAGTTGATTTATCCCCAAGTAAACACCTTAGACACAAAATTATCAGTCAGAATCCCTTCAGAGTATTGGATTTGTCAGTTTTATTTGAACCCTTTTGAACTCCTGAGGAATGAATTCATGAGCTGAGTAGATAGACAGGATGGGTCATTTAAAAAACCTTTGACAGGCAGTTTAAGGTCCAAATCAA